GAAGAGCGCTCAATACCATAATAAGTAGAGCGGGATTAATTCAGTCAAGGTTTGAATGTTTGCGTCGCTACTCTGAGTCTCACGCTTTACGCGATCATCAGGCAACATGTAGCCTGATGATCGCGTAAAGCGTGAAACTCAGAAAAATAGTCTTCAGTATATATATATATATATATATATATATATATATATATATATATATATATATATATATATATATATATATATATATTTCATAATAAGTAGTTTCTCCTCGAGGCATAAATTACACCGTTTAGATCCTGGTTTGTATGCTTTGACTTTCTTCATAATGGACCACTTTATTGTATACTGACTTTTTTCTGACTTCAGTTTCCAGACGTACTTGGACAGTTCGGTGTTGCTCTTGTATTCCTCATGTCGGAAAGACTTAGTGTGATTGCGGTATCTTGTTTTACAAACTGCACAAACTTTTCAACCGCCACACAGTCCGTGTTAGTTACAGTTGCATGACAAACATGAAAAATCTCATCCGTAAACACAATCGTAATATACTGAACCGAAACACAAAACGAACGCCAACTGCTAGGGTAATACAATCATCCATACCAACGGTAATACCAACACCTACAAAAAACGACACGCCAATGTGCAACTGCCAAAAACCCGCCAACTGTCCACTTGGTAAAAAATGTCTTACTGAGAGCATCGTATACAAAGCCGAAGTGACAACCAGCACTGCCAACAACCAGGAAAAGAAAATATACATTGGCATGACGGCGGGTGATTTCAAAACAAGATACCGCAATCACACTAAGTCTTTCCGACATGAGGAATACAAGAACAACACCGAACTGTCCAAGTACGTCTGGAAACTGAAGTCAGAAAAAAGTCAGTATACAATAAAGTGGTCCATTATGAAGAAAGTCAAAGCATACAAACCAGGATCTAAATGGTGTAATTTATGCCTCGAGGAGGGACTACTTATTATGAAAGCGAAGAAAACTGAATGCCTGAACAAACTCTCTGACTTGTTTTCCAAATGTAGACATGTAACCAGATACCTGCTTAATCAAGTTGTAAAATGATAACCTATATTTATTATGAATATTGAATAATATCTGTCAGTTGCCTGATGATCGCGTAAAGCGTGAAACTCAGAGTAGCGACGCAAACATTCAAACCTTGACTGAATTAATTCCGCTCTACCTATTATGGTATTGAGCGCTCTTCTACCTTACGTCAACTCATCGACTATTTTTTTGAATATATATATATATATATATATATATATATATATATATATATATATATATATATATATATATATATATATATATATATATATATATATATACATCTACATTGTACAAGTCTATAGATACGCGATGCATTCGTATTGATATCGCATGAAGTTGCACCAACCAAGACATGTGGCACAACACGATGGAAACGCGAGCTTTGCATTACTAATGACAATTATCAAAGACATCATAGACATCCATAGCCAGCGGCTCAATAAATTACTGTTGGTTTCGTACCACAAGATGTGGCACTCATTATTGTGAATAAGTTATATATAGCTAGGCTGAAGAATATACACAATAAGTCCTTCATGTCTATAGTATGTACACAATATACAGGCTATTCCGTATAATCATATAATTATAAGAAGATCATACCTTGTATAAGAACACAGATCAGAAATATAACAATGCTTTATCCCACGATAAAAGATGCTTTATACGGCAGATGAAGGACAAGCTATGTCCTGTATTTATCTTCTACTTATTATATCGTAAATTTAACAAAAAGCCTCGACAAAATTTGAGAGTATAAATCGCTTGAGGAATTCCGCTCCACTGCTCTCAACTCGATCTATCACGATAATTACCGTACAGTTACGACCATTTACGAAGTTTAGCCGGAGTGCTCTATTTTTTCTTTAATTTAATTAAGCGAAAGCGGAGTAAGTGGAATATCGTTAGGCAGAGGTGCGGTGGGGGAAAGGACATGTCAAAGGCACGGTTCAGCCTTTTGAAAGATGGTTTTTTGAATGATGGATTTTAGGACAATCAATGGACCTTTCCCCTTATAACTAAAATTTTGATCTAGGCAAAAATTTCATCACAGCTTAAAAGAACATCACAAAATTAGTAATATTCCAAAGTTTCGTTAAGAAATGTTATAAAATGCGGATAATATAGCCTTGCGAAGTTTGCCGTTTTCAGTCATTTTGTATTATACGCATTAAAAAACTTTAAACAACTCATTAATAATTCATGAAGAAAATCCAAAATAAATCACGGGCGTGATTCCGCGTGAAGGTGTCTGTATATGTGATACAGATTCATGTTCATTTACATAAACTTTAACTTTGATTTTGTCGGCATAGACAACGTTTTTTTTTAAAATTACTTCGCCAATGAACTCATAAGATGAGTCGTTTTTTAAGCCATTTACAACATTCGCATCCGTGTTGTATCGGATATACAAACTCTCGCCTTCGGCTGGAGTTCGTATATCCGATGCAACACGGCCGCTCATGTTGTAAATAGTACTGGGAAATTGACAGCCCAATCGGGTGTTGGGGCATCAATTTCCCGTTTGTAATACAAAATTACTGAAAATTGCAAATTTCGCAAGGCTATATTATCCGCGTTTTACAACATTTCGCAACGAAACTTCGGAATATTACTAATTTTGAGATGCTCTTTCAAGCTGTGATGAATTTTTTGTCTAGACTTGTCTAGATCAAAATTTTAGTTATAAGGGGAAAGGCCTATTATTCAAGATCAGCAAACTTAAATGCTTTTAACATTCTAAAACATTAATTTTATTGTAAAAAAACATTGAGTTTACTGATCTTGAATTATTAATTAATTTTCTTACTTAGTTTTTCAATATATTAAAAGGGCTGAAATGCGCCATAAAATTAGCTATTGTTTTGAAATGTTCATTCAATTAACTAAACTGCGCGCTTTTGCCGACAAACCGTTTTACTTACTATAAAACATTAAGTTTTAATTGATGAGTAATTTCAGTTGGAACTTGAAATTAATTTTACTTCTTTTACAGTTTAAGTTTTTTCCCCGTAAATATAGGGTAATTTAATAAACTTACAGCTATATTGTCAATGAAAATGAAAGCAGTGCATGATGGTTTACGCAAAATTCATTGAAAGCAAAATTCCTATATTTCACGATTTCCCAGTTTTGAAATTTGAAATCTTGCTTGTTCCACGTCTGACCAAACAGTGTAGGCCAATGAGGATTTGGATTGATTTCTAGATATCGCGATCAGCATTTCCAAATCTGCGGCGCAGGCTAAGAGGTGGAACTGGAAGATTAATACAGGTGGCAGTCCGTCATCTGCTGTGTAAAGCATTTTTACTGTGGGATGAAGCATTGCCGTATCTCTCATCTGTTGTCTCATACAGTACAGGGTATATGATCTTTGATTCCACTATTAGTATATAATAAGATGATTTGGCTAAGCTTCAAAGGGATTTACCAGGGGCGGCAAAATACTGTTTATCAAAGGGAAAAATGGCACATGACGAGTTTAGGGAGTCTTCATTGTGGAATTCTATAATTTTTCTTTGTCTTTTCTAATTAGTTCCCAAAAAATCACAAGAGAAAGAAAAGTTCAGCTTCGCGAACAAAATTCCGTCTAGTGAAAACCTGCAGAAGAAATTCAAAAGAAAGCTTATTTACAATTGATATGAAGGAATATCCAAAAATAGTCTAAGGGACCGGCCATAAAGTATTTACTAGGGGGTGTGGAGGATATTTTGGGGGTGCGGAAAAAAAAGAGAACCTCTGAGGTGGGTACGAAAAAAACCAAAAAAAACCCCTCTAGGGGGGGGGGGACCAAAATCTATAGTCTTATAGGTACGGAAAAAATTACATTTTATAATTATTGTTGAATATTGAATGTTTTGTGCCCAGATTTAAGTTTGGAAAGAATTGCTTTACCATAATTATTAAATCAACACAAGATATATGTTTTAGTCTGACTCAATGTCAGATGATAAGTAGGATTCAGTATCCGTTGAACTTTTGGAGTACAAATCTGATACACCTGAATTGTCAATGATAGCAAGTTCACATCGGCATTAGAACTTGATGAACCTGATGAGGAAGTGTCACATTGAATGGAAGCAAATTTTTCTATTTGAAATAAACCCAAAACAATTTTTGTTTGATCTTACTCTCAGCCCATGTTAGTTAGTATGTAAGAATCTGAAAAGACTGGTGACGAATCGGAGACTGCGGAAAATGTTGAAGATATATGGTTACCACTACAAGAAGTGGAAGAGTTATCACAAACTGAAGAGTATCGAAATATAGATAAACGCAAGACAAATGTTAAAACAGAATTAATGATAGAAGGGGGGAGGGGGAGAATGAAAATTTTCACTTACATTGAAGGGGGTTACGAAAATTTTTCCACAGGTTTTTGGGAGGGTATGGAAACATGTACTTGAAATTTCATTTATCCTCCACCCCCCTCGAGTAATTACTTTATCACCGGTCCCTTATAATAAGATATACTGTTTATTAATACAAATTTTTGTTGTTATTAATAAATTATTTTCTCGTTTTACACGTTGGGGAAGTAAGAAAATTGGGCTTTTAAAAAATACTTATCTGAAAACTTCTAAAAGCCATAGTTGTATTTAAAATAGGATTGTGAAACTCGTTATCTTACATCTATCAAGCTTATGTGTTTATATGTCAAATCATAAGCGTGTCGTATATGTAAAATCATAAGCGTGTCGTGGTTTTATATGTGATAAAAAATCATGTTAATTTACATAAACTTTAGCTTTGATTTTCTCGGTTTAGACAAAGTTTATTTTAAAAATTACTTCGCCAATGAACTCATATAAGATTAGTCGTTTTTTAAGCCATTTAAAGCACTTGTAGTCGTGTTTTATTAGGTCTAAAGCCACTCGCGCTGCGCGCTCGTGTCTTTAAACCTAATAAAACACTCCTGCTCGTTTATTAAACAGTACTTCAAAAACTCATTAATAATTCATGAAGCAATTATCCAATCTTGAGTGAGAAATTAGTCACGTGCATACGTCTTTATACCAGCTAAAGAACACTTTAACAAAAGACCATTGTTATATGCAAACTATATAAAGATTTTTATATAAAGATTTTTATATAAAGATTTTTATACAAAGATTTTTATATAAAGATTTGACTTATTATGCAAACGTTTTTGAAGCCATTTAAAAAACTCGCAGGTCGTGTTTTATTAGGTCTATAAAGCCACTCGCGCTGCGCGCTCGTGGCTTTAAACCTAATAAAACACTCCTGCTCGTTTTTTAAATAGTACTTCAAACACTCATTAATAATTCATAAGCTTATTGGCAAATCATGTCAACCTTAATATGTCACGTGCAGTGGCTTTAAACCTGATAAAACACTCCTAATTAGTATTCTTTAAATAAAGAATACTAATAAGGCAGTATCTATTGTAGTCGTGCCCTCATTAGTATTCTTTATATAACGAATACTAATAAGGCAGTATTTCTATTGAATTTGTAGTCGTGTTTGAAGCCGTTTAATAAACTCGCAGGTCGTGTTTTATTAGGTCTAAAGCCACTCGCGCTGGGCGCTCGTGACTTTAAACCTAATAAAATACTCCTGCTCGTTTATTAAACAGTACTTAAAATACTCATGATTGGTTCCCGTAATTTTTTGTCTGTGCTTAAAAACACTTTTTTCAAGCATATTATCATGAAACGACCAGAAAAAATACAAAAATAGCGAACCTTTTCCATTGTCCTTTTAGTAGAAAAACGATGATTAAATCAAAACAAATTCACTTTTATGTGTTTTTGATCCGATCTGGACATGCTCTTTTCGTTGTCAGAAGCACCTGAATTTATCAAAGCGAAAACGCCAAGCTTAAAACTTTTTATTTCAAAGCTTCTCTCCAACCATATTTTCAGCCTCTAAAAGTACACAACTGCACTGATCTCAAATTAGTTTGCACGCGACACTGGAATATAAATGAATTTAATTTTTACATCTAATAAAAATTAAACACGTTATTTACTGGCGTCGGTCCGCATTAGAAAAAGTGTGCCCTAGGTCTTGAAAACGTCTCTCGCCCTATATGTAGTCTGTCAATGTCTGTTTTAAACCGGCGAAGACAGATAGATTTAAACATAGCAAAAAGTTCTTTAATGCCATAGGGGTGGACAGTGCCAAGTTTGGAAACGAGGCGCATTTCACGTCTTTTGCGGCTATATCGTTGCTTCTAGAAATGGAATTAGAGGGCTCGAATTTCGATGTCTGAAACATTGTGATTGTGGCTATTATAATGACGATTAAAATGACGATTCAAGACGAGGACTTCCAAGAAGAAAAGTTATGAGTGTTCTCAGTCTGTCCTACACACTTTCATTACAAGTTACCAAAGGCTTCTTCGCCATTCTATTCAAGTAAGTGCAAATAATATATATATATATATATATATATATATATATATATATATATATATATATATATATATATATATATATATATATATATATATATATATATATGTTATTTACCGGCTGCGAGGTCCGGATGAGAAAAACTGTGCCCGAGGTCTTGAAAACGGGAGCATACAGGAAGTAAAAATATTAGTAAAATTAGTAAAATTATTCAGAACTTTCTTAAGACTTCCGTTGAAATGTTGCTATTAATAGAAACCCGTTTACTCATAACTCGGCGAGGGAATTGTCCGCGAAGGTATTGTATTGTTGCATTGCTGGTATTGGAAGGAGCTTCGTCTTGCTGCCACCACATGTCATCCCTATCGATTTTGTGAACACGAAAGTCTCTCCGTACAACGTTGTAACGGATGATTCGGAGGTACTCCCTCGTGTCGAGATTTCTTTCAACAATGTGTGGATCCAGAACAATGCCTGACCTTGTCAAAACAACCCACTAATTGAAACAATAATTCATTTTGAATTTTACATTAAAATAAAGCCCATAGAAAACAAAATAGGATACCTACTTTATTTATTTTAGAAATTAATAGTCCTGTATTTAAAAGCGTTCAAGTAGGCGAGTTTGTGCAAAAAATTAGAAAACAATTATCGTGTTGCCATGACTAACACGACGTAGCAACGCGAGCCTGCGTTCAGTGTTGGCGTAATTATGAATACTTTATGTTGAGACAATGTTTGGAAAATGTAAGCGAGGGGTTGTTGCATGCAATATATCTAGTTATATATAGCGCTACTATCTATTATACGTAATATAATCATGGTCGTGGATCATTGCTCGATGGTAGAATAGTAATACAAAGTATATTTTAATAATTCAATGTTGTCTTTGCGTTGCAGTTGCTCTCTTCTCCGCAGAGGCTTTAGTTTTCTTAGGATTTAATATTACGATGCGATACATTTCACTACACTTTACATGGCGCGGATCTTGGAACACCAGCGTAGCTGCTGGGCGAAGGAGCGCAGGCGGCAAAGGGAAAGGCGAGGAAAGGCGCGAAGCCTCTGCACAATTTGCATCGCAAAGTGGGACAAAGTGTAAACATCGAAATAAAAGGTAATTTTTAAGCTAAACAAGAAACGTCTTTTTGAAAATTAAATCATTATTTAATGCATGATTGATTGACCTCATTGACTATAGTGCTTGCATGTTTGTGGATGGTCAAAAGTAATATTTTTTAACATTTAATACACAAAGCAAACAATCGTATATTTTATTCACCGCTTGGCCAAACATTCTGTATTTCGTATCGAGAAAAACTTGAATAAAATTCGCCACCAGTCAAAGAAGTAAAATACTCCTTGTATTCAAACGCTTTCGTGTAGAAAATTTCTTTTGAATACGGCCAGTAGAAATATTTATTTTTAATTTTTCAAAATATCGGGTTTTTACTCGCACAGTCGCACGCGCCTGTTGACACGCTGATGTTCGGGAATTAGTTCACAATCAGACCAGGAATGGAAATACCATAATAAAAGATGAAGTTTTCAAGATACAGGCTGAAAAATAACACTCTAAGTAGTGTTTTGAATTCGCTTTCGAACAAGAGTAATACAAAGAGGATGCGTCCCAAGGAGCCGAAGTTATGTTCGCCGAAAGGTATGCCTAGTTTATTTTTATCAAGTGTAAATATTGCGTGATTTGATATTAATATACAAAATCCCGCTTGACTTTCAAAGGTCATAAATCGCTATAGTGATTACATTTCACTAAAACTATCCATAGAAACTAGGAGATATTTTTGTACTGAATCGAACGGTGGTATTTTCATCTACATAGCGTATACTGAATCGAAGATACGAACCTCCAAATAAATCAGGTCGAAACCGACTGAAGTGACGTCACGTTTGTTTATAAATATTGCTGAAGTTGAAATAGTTGAATTGTATTTCAGTCTTGATAATAAATTTAATAATGGGTCTGTATGCTATTCATACTCATTTTTTTCTTTTATCCAGTTTTGGACACAATTCTAAAAATACAAATGTCAAATATAAATTTAAATAAAAGTTTCTTCGCTTGCAACCAAAACCTGTTCGCTAAATACGTTGTTTCCATGCATTGTTTTATACTGTAGATGGAGACCTTGTCTAGAAAAAATGCAGATGTTTTCTCGCAAACTGAGCATAACACTTTCCTATTTCGTAGAGCTAGTAAATAATCGCTTTGTCAGCTTGTTGCAGTATTGTAAAGAGATATTTTCTCAGTCATTTTGACTTGAATTTTCCGTTTGATAATTATACGCCCCCCGGTTTACCGCCATATTGGGTGTGGCGTCGTGCAGGGGCCTCATAGCCAATTAAAGCCTCTGCGGAGGAGAGAATTGCGGTTGAATGTTCTTCTCTTGACGAAAATTAAGTAAAGGCAGTAGCTTAATTTCAGTTTTATTATTTCTTTCAAAGACAAAACAGCGGTCGGTTGTAGAAAGGCATTTGTGTATACGACGCAATTGCTTAAGCCTATAGGTTACACGTCGGCTATTTTCCTCACGCTGGCGACGGAACTGTTAAATTCCGGCGCGAAAGATGAAATCGCACGTGTATTATGTTCTGCGTGGCAATGCAATTGTGGCTTGATACCTTTGGTAATCGTTGCAGAAACTTAACGTGATTTAATTTCAGGCAATTAACGATTGCCGAAAACATCAAATTACAACTATAAAATGAGCAACCCACGGCTACGCAGAATTCCTCAACCCATACTATAGAACAAACTATTGAACATTGCCCCTTCGACAAATACTGCAAAGCACCAGACACAAAATTTCAACATCTAGAATCGTCACTACAACACTTGAAACACGAAGTCAAGAAAGTAATCAATAAACACAAGTCACGTTCTCTTTCTCCCAACCTCACCAGAAACCAAAGAGAAACCCTGTCCGAATTAACCACACTTAAGAAAGCCCGAGAAGTTAGAATATCGGTGAGCGATAAAGGTGGCGAATTCGTGGTAATGAACAGTAATCTAGATAACACATTAATGGAGAAACACCTTGGAAATGAATCACTTTACCGACCATGCCATGATTTAACGAAGAAAGCTGAAGAGGAGATCAACGAAGTTTGGGAATACGTTGCAAAAAAGAATCGTGTTAACGAAAGATCCATTGGAAGATTAAAAACGACCCACAGTGTTTGTCCTGTTATCTACCTGCTAACCAAAACTCACAAATTCCAGAACAATATACCGAGTTCTAACCCTGATGACATCAAAGTACGACCAATAATCTCTGGTTGTGGTGGTCCTGCCGATAAGGTCTCCTGGCTCATACAAATGATATGCAACCCTCTCCTGCAGTTCGTGAAAGCACATCTTAGAAGCACTCAACACCTATTGAATAATCTACGAAGCATTAAGAATGGAGAGCTGAAGAACAAGCTCCTGTTCAGTCTAGATGTGGTTTCCTTGTATCCAAGCGTAGATAACGACGCAGCAATTGATACCTTACGTTTATATCTAGAGAAAGAAAAGAACAACAATCTCCATCATTCTACTCACCAAAGCTATCTTCGAAAAGAACTGTCTCTCTTGGAAACGATCTTATTATCAACAGCGTCGAGGTCTGGCCATGGGAAACCGGTTAGCCCCAATACTCGCTATACTCTTCATGGACAGAATAGAAAACCAAGCAATCTATTCCGACCAGGCTCTTTCCCTTCCCTTGTATTATCGATATATTGATGATTGTATTACACCTGCTAGCGGTCCAGATGAAGCTGTAAAGATCCAAGACAAGCTTAACTCACAAGACCCGTCAATACGATTCGAAATCGAGTTGCCAGGTGAAGATGGATTCCTCCCATTCCTCAACACAAAAGTCAAGGTGAACGAATCTGGAACAGTGGAGACGGGATGGCATACAAAATCGGCAAACAAAGGAATAATGTTGAATGCAAAATCACACCACCCAGAACAAATCAAACGGGCCGCCATCGGTAACACCATCAAGACATATACTTCCATATGTTCAACCGACGCCTTGTTTGAAGAAGCTGAACGGAAGTTTGAAAGAAGAGCGAGACGAAACGGCTATAGCAACAACTATATAAAAAAAGTCCAGACAACAAAACGAAAACTGCCAAAATCGAAAGTCGAACCTCTTCCCACATTCACAATTCCATTCATTTCCAGAAGCTTTACGACTGACATCCGAAGAGCGGTCCAGAGTTCAAACCTCAATGTCAGAATAGTTGAAAGACCACAAAGCTCGCTTAAACAACTCCTCGTAGAATCGCGACCTTACGATAAAGTATGCACAGACACCTCTAAATGCCCAATATGCAGCAACTCAAATGCTCCCGTTCAGTGTACACAGAAAGATGTCGTGTATCAAATCAACTGTGACCTTTGTGGAGCAACGTACGTAGGCGAGACAGGCAGACCATTGGTGGTTCGATACCAAGAACATTTTCGTTCCGCAGCAAACCCGAAAGCAAAGTCTTATAAAAACATGGCTTTCTCGAAACACTACCTCGACCAACATTACGGACAAAAACCTAAACTGTCTGTTAAGATTTTAAAAAGAACAAAAGGATCTGTAGAACGGAAAATTACCGAAGCATTATTCATCCAAAAGCTTAATCCAGACTTGAATGGAAAATACGAACAGTTAAATGTCTTAGATTTCGTAGTTTAAACATTTAAGACAGAATTAACAATTTCTAATTTTTATTAGAATTAATTGGACACGTGCACGTAATTTATATGTTTACGCAATTTCGCACGCGCGAATAACGGTCGCAATTTAACGTTTATGCATGCGCATGTTAGTTTAAATTCAAAGTGTAATCCTATTAACTACCTGAAGATGGAGTAAATCTCCGAAACGTCGTTTGTTAATGAAATAAACATTTAAAAAAAGTCTTACTGTGGTCTATATATTGAACACAAAATATTTTATAAACATCAGTCTGTCAAATTTGGATTCGAATTATTTTGATACACACTGTATATTTGCTTGTTAAAGTGCGGTATACTTGCAGTATAAATATGGCTGTATAACAACCTCGACATGTTTACGTATTTATCCCATTGAAGCATTCTATGTATTTTCTCCTGACCCGAGAAATTAATACAAGGTGATTGGCTCACGGTTCATGAGAGCGAGGCCCCCCAGGCCAAATGACGTAATCATCGAAAGCGTGTGTTACAACTAGTAAATCCTTTCAATGCAGGCAACCGTATAATGCCATCATCTCGTCAAATCATTTGTCGTAGATCATTATAGGGACTTCGAAGTTTACTGAATTTCATACCATTATCTCAATTGACTTTGATGAGAATTTTCATTCAAGTCAGAGTTTTCATTTATGTGTATGAATATATGAGTGTGTGAGCAGAGCAACTAACGAGGGTTGGCCAGTAGCTCTAAAACAGCGGATAAACTAGTGTCTCTATGAATACAAATAAAACATCGAGGCATTTCGAGCGAAAGCCCGTCGTGAGGAAGTTAGTAGCCAGGCTTAGCGATAGAAGATAAATATTAATGATTCATGAGTAAATTAGCCAACCATGTTGCTTTATTTTGATAATACTGGATACCTGGTGAAGTGTTTTGATCAAGTCCTAGGACTGGATCAAAACTTTAATTCAATCCTTGGACTGGATCAAAATTAATTCACCTCACTTTAAGCGGTGATATATTCGTACGAGATGTCATTTCAAATCCTCCAATTCGGACTGATGGACGGACCAACTCGGCTTCGCCTCAGACTTGATCAAATTGCGCAAACTTGAAATATAGCCCAGTCTCATAGTCGGACTTGAACTATTACAATGACTTACTGTACCATCTCAGTCCGGAGATTATTACAAAATCTCTTGAGATTCACCATTATCTTTGGATTTCTTCTACACTATAAACTCGAACGATCCGTATATCAGGTATAGTTGAAACCATTTCCATCTCAATTTTCTGGTGTTTTTGGTACTACCTACGTTGACAAATATCGTTCGATTGTATGCCCTCATAAACAAGATTTTTCTTAGTCATCGTTGTTCTTGTTGGAAGTATAAAACTACAAGCGTACTTTAGATTGCATCCATGATGTGGTGACAACTTCCAAACGCAAGTTCATAAAATAAGTAAAGATGAACTTTTCGTGTGACGATAGATTTTTTTATTGTTTCAGGTCGTTTATATACTCGGTAGCGTATCTTTGCGAAAAGCTGCCGGAACTTTATCAATCCATGGACATCATTTAGTTGATGAGCGATGGTATCCAGCTTGTTCTAGTGGTGCAAACCTTGTAACTCTTGAGTGTAGTTCTCGTCGTCGTGTCAAGTGTACAAGTGAACTTTTGAGCCAGATAGTTGACGATGAAACCAGAAAGGCTGTTCAAGTCAAGCTCAGAAAGAACAGTGATGTTGGATGTATTGTATTTTTGAAAGGAAATTGGCTTGTGTCAAGAATGCAGTGTGAGGACGCGTTTGATATTAGCTCGATAACTGTAAGTATGATTGTCTATTTTTAGTTCGTGGTCACAGTTATCGGCTTATAAAAAATAATCGTCGGTATCTTTTTGTTCTTACAAGCACAAACGACCTGGAAATTGGAACAAACCTTTTTACTTTTGAAGTTGTCTCGAAATCTTTCAATAACTCATGCATAAGTCGTTTTCGCAGCCATTATGTTATCTGAACATGTGCTCTCATCTCCCTTCCGTTTCCAAATCAGAAATAGTGACTGCATGATTGATTAATTTAACAACTTCAATGCCTCAATGGAATATTTCAATGAAGAGACCTTGTCCATAAGCTACTTCCACTAAATGTTTTCCAGCACTTTATGTTAGTCATTATAATAAAAAATACGAATTTTCCGATAATAAGCACCCAAGCCTAGAAGGATTTCCGAACAATGCGTGCCTGTTATTTGCACATGCTCAAACACTAACAGCCGCTGACCTATTATCGCCATGCGCATGCTGGTATGCCAGAAATTACTGACCATACTAACTAACACACTAACTGCGCTCTTTGTTGTTAACTTGCATTAAGTCCGAATGCTCCCTACTTGGTGGCACTATTTTGGGTTAATCAGACTATCTGTTCATGTGTATATATTAGTTAATTCATTAAGTTGCACTACACTACAGTGCGGCTTACTGTACTTATACCATAGATATCTTATATACACTAGATAGTGCATCTAATTATTCTGCAATTCAAAAATTGAAGCCGTGATTGCAGATTTGCAGACTCAGGTCGTTCCCATGAAATGAGAAGATTCGTATGTTTTCTATTTCTTAAACAGGGAACTTAAAGATTAAGTTAACCCTATTCCAAATACGTTTTTAAATTATTCAAATGATGAAAGTTATTGTTGTTTTTAAGCGTTTATTAGCAAGTGGGAACGACCAACATGGCCGCCATCTATTTAAATGGGGGTAACCGCTGGAATATTCTTGGCTTCAGTTTTACTAGAAGAGATGCACTATCTAGTGTATATAAGATATCTATGACTTATATCGGTCAGGAATGCTGAATGAGGTTGCACCATTTTCCCCATTATTTCTATTCGTCTGAGTGTGTATTCACTGTATTGTGGCGTTACTTCTCAGTATGTTTTTGTTATTTCTGTGAATGTTTTTATTATTTATGTCTATGTTGCTGTTATTCATTTCAACACCCATGCAAATGAAGACTATGCTTGTGCTTACAAGCCTTTACACCTGCGGTCTTTTTTACACCTGACCAAAAACATTCAAGATGTTGTATATTATTTTGAAAGGGCATGTGAAGTCATACCACGCGCTGCAATCTGTCATGGAATTTTGCTGGTACTGATAAAAAGTATCCATTGAACACATTTTTATTTTGTTAGGAAACAGAGGATATGGGATTGCATCAACGAGAACTTCAAAACAAAACAGCTGATCTTGGTTTCACTCTGGTAAGAGCCTGCCGTGTACAAGTCTATTTTATCTTCTTATCTACAAAAAACCTTCCCTTTGAACAATCTAGCATTTTTGTCTTCCATTTTTAAGGAATATTGAGTATACTAGTACGAGAGCACTCTCCCCCTTCTTTAAGTGTTTGAATAATACTCTGATAGGCCTTTCTGGTCCATGTACGGCAATTACAAATGTAACCGGTGTATTACATTTTGTTCTCGCACTAATTTGCAATCCGATCTGCATCAGCAATGCTAATATGGCTCAATGCTAAGATGTCCATTACATCTATGATAGGGCCATAACATTAGTTTCTGACTCAATTTAGCTATCACGTGCTTTCATTGAAAACTTATGCGAAAGAAATTTACAAAGAATTTAAATTTTGGAACTTAAAAAAATGCATTGTACTTCTGTTTCGTTTTTTATCTGTTCCTCTTGTGACAACATATCAAACACTTTGCCCCAGTCTTTTTGTTCTCATCGAGAACCTATAATTCATTTTGATATCGTATCCATTTAGTTCTTCGAGTTACCAACCGCGTGTTCACCGCTAATAGTTTCACCAAGTTGGAAGGCTATTCTTGGGTTGATCGAGTCTCATTCTAATAAAAAAGGTATGGCATATCTAATATTATGTGGCATTGTGGCTAGCAGATAAAAGCATGCTAAATATTATGTGGCTCATTCACAGAAATATATTGTGTCTATTATTTATATGGTAGTCAATTTATCCCGGGCGTTCTGTGATCCCCGTCCACGATCATATCAGATCATGTCAGCGGCTCAGCATTTCGCATTAATTAATACAATTCGAATTCGCGATGAAAGATATTTTAATTGAATATAATACACTTAAAAAATAAACGTGACTCTAAATCTAATCTTACCGAAAGGTATTGTATAAAGGCAATCTTAGGAAAAATCGTAAATAAAAAATATGAGAACGAAAAACAAAACATCGGCCATTGCGGGATCGAACCACCAATAGCAGCATGTTAGATCGCACGCAGATCGCCCTGGACAAACACGCCACCGACACTCGCTGAAATACAAATGCCGAAAATCTAAATATATAGTGGTCACATATACAGGTTGTATAAAAAAAAACGCAACCTCGGAATTTCCTAAGAAATCACGTTGCAATTCTTAAGCATAAAAGATTTTAGGCCCCTGGGAATTGAAATAGAATTGCTAATAGATCATATTACTGTTGTTGTGCATTAAATAAATGCATAAATTTTGCTTTATGCACTCGCGTGTGCAGTAATTTTGACAGTTGTGCTATTTTATATTCCCAGGCGCCTAAAATCTTTTGTCTTCAAAACAATGTCGATTTTTTGGGAAATTCCGAGGTTGCGTTTTTTTTTGTACACCCT